AAATGCCCGAATAAAAGTTTGAATGATTTGGAAAATTATACATCTAATTTGGTTCGTTTCGAAAAAAAAAGATAAATAATTTTAAGGATCATGTAACAGGGATGCCAGATTTGAACACATGTCTTCATTTTGCATACATATTAGGTTATTACAAACAACATAGCATCAACCTCCCGAATGAAATGATCATATTTGATATATATCAGAAATTTAAAAGTTTTTTTTTTCGAAAATTTGAACCTCAACAAATTTTATAAAATCGAGGACATAGAACGAGATTTGAAATACTACGGAATTACGGCCTAAAAATATTAGAAGTATCAAAATCTCTAATAAAATGATCATATTTCATCGCAGGAGTCTAGTTTGGACCAAAATTAGAAAAAATGTTAAAACTGCAAACCTTTACAAAAAATCATACAATTATTTGAAAAATTTCAAACACGCCATTTTAAAAAATTTACAAGATTAAAAATGGCCGAATTTTAGCATAAATGTCAATCATTCCCTAATAACAACAATGTTCCCCACCGGTTCCAACTCTTTCCGGTCGCTTATAGACCGTTGCTTTTCACAGCACAATAGGCTAGGTTTCTGGTCTGCCTTTGAGGGCATTATAAAACCCTACAACGCAGGACTTTTACTATCCTATGAACATAAAACACTAATATTTCGCACACCCACCATTTCCTGCGTCATCCTCAATCCGATTTATTCGTGCGATTTCACGAACACCGATTTTCGATTCGTACGAACACTGGGTTGTCGGAATGGGTATTTTACAAACAATCGCAGCTTACTCTATGCCCGCACAATCGGCACATCTGCGGCACACTGACAAAAAAGATGATCCAAGATTGGTATGCGGAGTGACCTACCCCTTGATCATTACCCCGAACAAACAATTATGCAAAGTTTCATTCATTTCGAAGAAGGTCGAGTCGTCATTTGACGTAGAACTGCTCCTCTCTAAGTTGATGTTTTCTACCGCTTGAACTCTACCAATCTGCAATTTGTTGTCTCGTTTTCATAAAGTTTCTAGTGGAAGATCATTTCCAAACTACTCGACTTATTGAAGCTTGAAGCTCCCCCTGAATTATCTGTGAATTCTTCTCACAATTTCTTGGGAATTCTTCTCAAATTTCTCCTGCAGTTCCTCTTAGAACTACCTTGGAATTCTCCTTAGAGTTCACTTAAAATTTCACTTTTCAATCCCTAGAAGATGCTTTCCATAATTTTATTTAATATCAATTTCGAACTCCCTAGGAATCCCCTTAAGAATTGTTTGCAATTTTCCCTTCAATTCATCCGGAATTTGCATCACAATTCCTACTTAATTTTCATCAGCACTCTTTAAGTGTTCCCCAAAAATTACCGCTGAAACTTGCTTCAGCCTACCGTTGAATTTCTCCTCCGAATTCCTTTGGAATGTTCCCTCGAATTCACTTGGAACTTCCTTGAACCTATGAACAGAAGTTCTTAGGAATGATGCTTTACGAATCGCCTGTATTCTCTTCAGAATTTCTATTGTATTCTAGTGAAGATTTTCTTAGAAATATGCTAAGGACTAACTTGGGGTGCTCCTTAGAACTCCTTTGAAGATTCTCCTCAGAACTACTGTAAGTTACGGCTTACTTACCAGTCTATAGCTGGCCCGATTAACCCCGGCGGGGCGGCTACGAGCAGAGTACTTCCCCCAAAGACATTCGGATTTGGATGGATTGATAAGAAAAGAGAAAGAAAAATACAATTTAAGACGTCTATTATTCTCTAACCTTTCCCTTTTCTCCTCGTTGTCCTCGGTGTCACTCGGTGAGGCCCTTCGATGATAGCGGCGGCGGTTGCTGTTTGTACTGCTTCACTCGGCTCCAGACTCGGTCTGTGCCGAGCGTTTTCTCCTTCACTTTAGCTGCGTAGCAGCGGTCCTTGGATTTCAGCGGGGGGGGGGATGAGCAAGGCTCCTTTATTGGAACCCCCCCGGCGACGATGGTGACGAATCACCTGACCAACTACTCGCCGTAGATGGTCCCTGTAGTCACCGCAGTGCACTACCCAGGTGAACGCTCCTTCGGTTCGGCCTGCTTCGTCCCTCCTTGGCTCTTAACTGCGGTGGCGGGACTGGCTCTACTGGCTGAGCCACCGCAGTGAGGATGGTGGGTGTTCGGGGATCCTTGGGGTTTAGCCGAGAAGCGGAAAAATCCTTGAAATTTAGCTTCCCTTGGCGGTGATCCGACACCCTTCGCTTCTACTCACGAACCACGGCACTGTTCGGGGAAACGACGTCACTATCCCGCAACGATGCTGGGAATTATTCCTCCAGCGGACACGCCACAAAAACGGCACTCTAACTATCGTTTCCACTTAAACGGACGGGGAAAAAAACGCGTCAATTTCCAACCGTGGCTCGTAACTTTCTCCTTTTTCCGTACTAGCTGATAATCGCGGACAATACAACAACCGCCATCGTTCTCCTGCAACCGCGCTCGAATGTCATGCTGCTTATGTTTTTCGCCTTCTATTGCAGCGGGAGGAGAAACGGGACCTAACTTTATTCTACACGCGCGACAATTTTAAACGATAATTTTTACACTATATTCTAATCCTAAAAACATGCCTACACGAATAAAATCTACTATGAAAATAACAAATTAAAATATTTACAAATAAAGCAGCGGTGAGTATGTTGCCGAGCGTTTGATCAAAACAAAAACAAATCATAACAGACAAAGCACACGCTCATGGCAAATACGTTAAAAGGGTGGGTTGTTAATTGTCACCCTAGACGAGGGTTACACTACCCAGGAATTATCTTTAAGTGCTTAAGTTTAAGCAGGAATCAGGAGGTTCTCAGAATAACCTGAGTAGGTATCCATAGATGTGGCTCAAATTTCTCTTATTATACTACCCATTGGAATTCTTTTCGAATTATTCCTAGAGTTTCCATCATGTTCGTCTAAAAATACTTTAGAGCAGTTCCACGCCAACTGTCGAATTGGTTTTATTTTCCCCCCTTCCGAATTCCATGAAACTTCGCAAAATTGTTCATTAGAGGCATGGAACCAAGTTTGTGCTGAAATTTGGCCATTTTGGCTCACGCCAAATTTTTCAAAATGGCATGTTCGAAAATCACCATCCATGCGCCCTTCAACGCGCACAAAAGAAGTCGGTGAGCGGTCAACCAGGGATGCCAGATTTAAGGATAAGTCTTCATTTGGAAGACATTTGAATTTCTGTGTTCCCGCAGACATTTTGAAGACATTTAGTGTTTTGTGAAGATTTTGTAAGACACGTTGAAATTGAAGAAAACTTGCGAAGGCTTTTTGCAATTTCAAGCCTACAAGTGAAATTTTTTGCTAAAAATAAAGATTTCGACTTCAAATTGTATGCCCCTTTGCGATGTTGATTATGAATAATGTAAATAATGTTTTGGAAAAAAATCTGCAGGATTTTACGGAAATCTTCGATAAGTTAGAATATTTCCTTGCCAACCTACCATTTGGGAGAATATCTGAGAGACGTAATTATGGTTTAAGATTTTCATAATAATTCAGAAATCTTTGTTCAGTTGTAGATCGTTTGCATACTTCTTCATCAACCAACTGTCGTGGAAGGATATCTGAAAGATGTCATTTGTATTTATGAACAACTTCAGAATACTACTTGGTCTCTTGAAAAAAACATCCAGAGGACTTAACTGGAATCTTCGTCTACCTGGAGATTATCCTATCCAGCATTTTACGAGCGCTTATGGCCGCCACAATCTGGCTGAGTTTTTGGTAGGGAACATATGACTTGACATTTGGGTTGTGTCGACCAGTCAAACGGTAAACGTTCAAATTTGATCGTTTACACGTCAAACGACACAAGCCAAACTTCAAATCTTATGTTCCCTACCAGAAACTCAGCCAGATTGTGGCGGCCATAAGTGATCGTAAAATGCTGGATAACTTCTAGAACGTTCCCAGAACATATTCCTGATATTTAACGAAAGGAGCACCCTCACCCTTTTCTACGTATATTCCTGAACATCTGGGAAGTTTCCTGATATTTAACGAAGTTCAAACAACTTCCAGGAAGTTCATTGAGCTTCATTGAGTCTTATTAAAAGACAAACTGCTACGAAGTACCTTAACATGGAGCGAACATCCCTTAAGTTAGAAGCTTGCTGAACTGTTTTGCTTAGTTCCAAGAAATTCGCTCCAATTGCTTCGAAATTCGCTTAACTCATTCCAGGCTGCCTGCGCTTCTACGTTTCTTGTTGATTTTCCACGAAGTTTCCTGAACTATTCAAAGATCATTAAATAACAACGAATTGCTCTGAAATTAAATTCATTAAATTATAAAAAAAAAATCCCTTAACTTCCCCGAAAATTCCCCAAACTTGTACCAAGTTACCATGTCTACGAAGTTCACAGAATTTTGCTGAATTTATCCGATGTTTCCTGAAATCAGAAGTCAAGTTAAATCACTTATTTTCTTTCAAGTTGCTTTAAATTTCTTCAAAGATCAATTAAATTCTACGAAATTTACTTAACTTCTACAGATTTCGCTGAACTTATACAAAATACTCTGCACTTCTACGAAGTTCACTGAAATGCCTCGAAGTTAGCTGAACCTCTGCAAAGTTAGCTGAAAGTTGCTAAACATTCTCCGTATTTTCCTGAAGATCTACGAAGTTTCCCGAAGTTCTACAAAATTCCTTAAAGTTCTACACCGTTTCCTGAACTTCTGTAAAGGCTCAATTTTAAAAATCTCAGCACAGATCCACATCCCGGTTACAAATTTGAAAAGTACCGTTGAAGACATTTTGTTCATCTGGATGAAGATTTTTTTCAAAATATACCTGGCACCCCTGCTGTCAACCCATGAGCTACGTTCCAGGGACACAATTATATTTTATTTTAGTCGGCACGACCAGTGAAGAACAAAGCCTCGTAATTACGAGCGTTTTATATGTGGGTATTTAATGATTTCGGAAAAACGCCTTCACGTGCCACAGTAAAGGCCCACAATCGATGGTTAAGCCTCTGCTCAAACTGATTTATTATTGTTCCGCTTGGGACCATCCAACAATGACGGCCGCTCTTGAAAAGGTAGGACAGTACTGGACACACAATTCAACCGCCCCTTTCCAGACACTGCCTACCCTTGGCAACGAGTTCCTCCTGCAGTGTCTGAAACTGCGGCAACTGCAGTTGCCGCTCTACACACAATCCGGTTGCATTCATGTTTCCATTCAGCTTGGAGCCCTGTTGCTGAACCATCTCCGACAGTCGCTTCATCTGAGGCTGCAGCGAGTCTTCTATCTTCGATTGAATCTGTAAAACAAATCCTGTGAATTTCCAACCGAATCTAACCACCCCTAAAGCTCACATTCATTTTCGTGCAGCTGCCTATATTCAGGATGGACTTAACAATCGAATTGACGCCGGACGAATCCAGCTTGTTGGCACAGTCCTGCATATCTGTCAGCATCCGGGAAAATTTGGCCTGCGCATTCCGCAGGGCACCTTCCTGTTTGCTCATCACACTTTGGACTTTGTGCATGCATGGCTGGATCCCGCCCTGCAGTGCCGCTTCGTACTGCTTGAACGACTTCTCAATCTGCTCAATGCACTGCTGGGGATTTTGCTTGGGCGCTTTCAGTTTCGAAAACGCTTTCGCGATCTTCTGTCCCTCCTTCTCGGCAAGGCCGTCCATCTTTTCCCTCAGCTTCTTCAGTCCATCGGATTTCTTATGCCGAAACCGGTCCATCAGGGCTTGCATCTTGCCCGGAATGGTATCCAACTGTTCCTTGATGTTTGCAATGCTGAAGAAGCGCTTTATCCGTTCGAAAATGCCGTTCCCTTCGGCGTCGTCGTCGTCGTCCGCCGGGTTGGGAGGTTTAGCGTCCACGGGTGCATCGAAGAACATATCTTTTGTCATGTTCGGAGGCAGCTGCAGCTTCGGCTGGAAATCTCCCAGATCATCGCCACCGGAATCGAACAAACTGGGATCCAGATCGTACTCGCGACCGAATTCCTCCGGTGGATCTTCCATGTCGTCCCATATGTCACTGTCATCGAATTCATCCGGATCGCTGGCTGCGTCCTGCTCTTCTTTTGGTTGTTCTGTCGTCGGTGATTTACCGACTGTGTCTGTCGTTTGCTTCGCCTCAGCGGTCGTCGCTTCAGTTGGTTTGTTGTTCGGTTGTTGTTTGCCGCCATCCGTCGTTGCTGTAGTTGCCTTAGCCGGTGCTTCCGTTGGTTTGTCTTTCACTGCCGTTGTATTCGAAGGATCATTGTCGATTGTCTGCGTCGTTTGCTTGCTATCTTTGGCAAGTGTCGTTGCTTTTGCTTCAGTTTCCTTAGCCGGTGCTTCCGTCGGTTTGTCTTTCACTGCCGTTGTTTTCGAAGGCTCCCTGTCGATTTTCTGAGTCGTTTGCTTGCTATCTTTAGCTAGTGTCGCTGCCGTTGACGGGTTCGTCGCTTGCTTTCCATCATCTCGCTTCGACTCACCCTTACTGACTGTTTCCATCGCTACACCATCCGCTGGAGTCTCCGAAGTCACGTCCGTTTGAAACTATCAACAGAGGCAATGTGTTATTTTGGGTTATCCACCAGAAAGCTTATCAAATAAATGGAATCGAAATGGCAAACATTTCCCCCTTATCGCAAATTACCGATAGCATTGCGGTATTCAACCACCATCAGTATCTGCCGCCCCCCCAAGCCAAGCCTTCCTGACATCCGAACGAAGAATTCCGACTAAAGAGCAGCTCAATTTGCATGAAATCACGCACAACGCCTACCACTTCATACCGTCGTTTAGACGACGACAAGATAGAGAGCCTGTTGTTATGCAAAATAATGCCACCTTACCTCCATTTTCACCCGGCCCAGCCCTGGAATGCGGAGCTCTAGTGCGGATGCCTTCCACGGTAGCGGTGGTGATGGTCCATGGTGCCAGCTACCGGAGGCACAAATCAAGACAACCATCATCGGGATTATCTTCATGCCAGGTGACTTCCTTGCTGTCGTCTGCCTTTGCTTCCGTTCCGGCGGAGGAGAGAGTGGAATTTAGACTAGGATGACACCGGCAGAGGGTTTGTAATCAGCACAATGAAACCACTAAGCTCTCGGGACAAAAGTAGTGACGGTGGTCGGGGTGACGATGGTTAAAGTACTTTCCGTGCGCAAATTTTGCCGACGGAGAGAAAACGGAACGAACGATGGCAATCTTTTGCCGTGCCGTGTGCGTTCCGGACGTAAAACGGAAAATGCTTTTGTTCGGATGCGACTGACGTTCCAGTGTCGACGGAAGGTCATATTTATAGATGCTTTCCGTCTCCGTTTGTTCGTTCGCACCCTCTGATGGGAATGACAGTGCAGGCGGAATTGATTGCATTTCGGAATTGGTAGCTTTTATTGGACGCGGGGATGAATTCCCACTTTTTGAAGTCATCTTGAACTTTGACAGCTGCAATTAAGATTATTCTCAGCGGTGGGAACGTTGACTTTCAAAATGAAAATTTGTGATTCTAAAATGCGTCATCTGTCAATCGTGCACGCACAAAACTTTACCGTGATGGGCATAATAGCTTCTAATCATTCAAAGTATACATACAGTCACAAAAAGGTAGGAATTTCCATTTTAACAACTGTAAATTTCGCAACACTTCCCTCTGGGATGGAAAAATAAAAACACCCATGCATTCAGTTTGTTTAGTCAGCTGTCTTCTGCCTTTATTTTCCTTCTTATTATTTCTCATGGTCGTCGCGTAGGAAACGTGGGACACAGCGTGCGTGATACTCTCTAAGCTGCTGTGCCGCCGCCGCCCATCTCCCGGCCTGACAGAATGCTAATAGGACTCGAGAGATTATATTTTCCGCATCGCATTCGCCGTCCGTCGGCAATGATTCTCTTGTACGTACACATTGTATTGCGGATGTTCCGGTGGAGGGTGCAGCAAATTTATTGACCTGTCAGGCAGCTTGATAGGAGGTTCTCCAGGTGGCGCTCCAGTGGCCGCTTTCGTTGCCGGGCGTTTTCTATGCGGTTGCGAAGGCAACCACCTGTCTGGCGGAACTTTGCCCGGACGTCCCCGGAGAGTTGACGGATTGTGACAGCGTACTGATGAAGCAAATCCACCGGTGGGGCTTCGTTCTGAAAGAAGGAAACGCAACTCATCTGTTGGTTTATAATACGGGAAGCTAACGAGAATGGACAACCTCTCGAATTTCGGATTCCAATTGACTGATCCGTTGTTCGAAGCCTTCGATTTTGCGCTGCAAATGCAGTAGGCAGATGGAAACTCGAGCTTCGATTACAAGCTGAAGCAACCGGATGTGGGGGTATAGCTGGTGAGAGCATTTGAGAATATCGGGATGGCAAGATCCGTTCGATTGAGTAAGGCCGGTTAGACTCTGTTGAATTTTTAAGGCTTGCAATCGCAAAAAAATATCAATTTCATGAACTCCGGACGAGACGAGAGTGAAAAATTCAATTTTCAAAGTTGCAATGCGGTCGGCATCGTCGCTGACGGTAGCGTCGTCGTAGTAATCCATCAGCAGCTCACCATCAATCCAAAGGTACGGTACCAAGTCCAGTGGTAGCCGTAGGAATTTCCAGTTGCTAAAACACCTCTCCAGCTCATAAGGGGCACTGCCACCAGGAAAATCCATTTCAATTTCCGAAGACAATAATGGCAGCACGCCAAGCCCAATTAGGACTAAGTTGATTACGAGCTCCATTAGCTAACGGCACCAGATCACTTTCCACACAGTGTCTCTGTCTCTTTGGCGAACCAGAGCACGACTAGCAGCCGAGCTCGCAAATGGCTGTCATCAATATGCGCTAATGTATCTAATTAATATTAATATTCTAGCTATATTTCATTTTACCAGCGCCAGCTGGCTACTAGAACTCATCCCCGTGGTCGCCTCCGAATATTTCCCCTTCTTCAGTTGATTGCTTCCGGAGGCACTGCTTGGCCCGTTCGGCAATTCGCGTCTGACCTCGGTCCAGTAGCTTTTTCCGATTCACAACGCATTCCTGGAATTTACCCAACCGATTCTCCAGACTGGTCGATGCAGTTCCCATCGCTTCGGAGAATCGTTTCAAGCCATCCGTCGCCGCCTTCATCGTATTGCTCACCTACGAAGAATTGCAATAACCTTGGGCCAAATCAGAATTTGTCATCTTACCATATTTCCCACGCATGAAGCTAGACTGATTCCGACATGACCCTCTCCGAAGCAACCTTCCAGTCGGAGTAACGGTCTTTCCAGCAATTTCGCCTCATGCCCCACCCATCGATCATGTTGATTCACCTGGCGTTCTGCGAACTCGTTGCAAGCTGCCATGTTCTTATTCAATCGCTTGTCGTAACCTTCCACACTTTTCTGGATGCTTTGGAGGCACCGGTTCGAATCCGATAGGCAAACGTCCTTGAATTCGGCGAAATGATTGGCGAAGGAATCGCGTATCTGCCGGTTCATCTGCTGCACCGAAGCTTTCATCTTCCCCACAGTCTCCCGGTGACGTTTCCGGAAGAATCCCATCCACTGCTGGATGTAAACATCGACGATAGCTCGAATCCCGCCGATTATGGCTTTGAGTTCTTGGCCCATTTCCGAGAACCTAGGTAGCTGGAACACGTTCGTAAATCGACTCAAAGTCTGCTTGAGGCTTGGCATCGCCGGAGGCTTGGGAATTTCCTTAATCGCGTTGCCCATCGTCGATAATGAAAGCAGTTTCTCGTCGAACTTAATTGGCTCCTCGGCATAAACATCCGTCACGCAAGTTTGTAAATGGACGTCCTCTAGATCCTCCTGTACGGGTTCCGGCTGTTCTTTATTCTTTCCGTCGCCAGCAGCCATACCCTGTCAAATAAAGACACCAACTCACAAATTAAACATCACCCGAAAAACTTACGGAGCCGAAAAACCCGCGTGAGCTTACGGAAAATATATCCACAGCTCCCTGCCCAATCGGTACCAGCATCGCCGCCACCACCAACATCAGTGCCAGGGAAATTGCTTCGTTTCTCATTTCCGACCCTGAATTGCGAACTAACCACGGTGCCGACAGTTCCAGAATTGAATCGGAAATCAATACCATCTGCCTCTCCTCCTCCACCGCCTCCTCCTTCGCAGCAGCCACATGCATCGGTGGCGGTTGGGATTATATCTCTATGTAGATGACAGCAGCCAGCAGCATCCATGTTTGCTCAGCTGGTTGGCTATTGACATACATGGCTTAGTACGTACGTAACCTTTCTCAATCATTTTCGCCCTTTCCATCGTATTTATGATACTCGTCGATTCTCTAAGCACTGCATATTGTACTATAGCAGCAGCAGCAGCAACACACAAGAAATCCAAGTAAAATTGTTTACATTTTCCAACCTCGACCGTAGTGGGGAGGTAAGCCACGCTCTATTTACTTTTACTATGCAGCAGTTGCAACAACAGCAACAACAACAACCATCCACTATCGTACCGAATTGATTGCTCCTTGATGATCTCTGATCACTGCAAAAGAAACAACACAATTATAAATATAATTTACTCCATCAAGATTCTGCCGGTTTTCCACTTGTTTTGTTAACCGGAATGTTCGGTCACGTGCTTCTCCGGTATCAACAACAACTGTCGAACTCCAGCTGGCTGCGTCCAGCTTAAGGCATTGCGCACTCCAGTGATGCCAACATTCCAGTTTCAACTGTAGCTTTTTATTATGTCATCTGTCAGAAAGCATGATTTACTTTTTACTTCAGTGTTTATTTTGACATGTACAAAAAACAACGAAGACTTCAAACGTTCCAGATGGTTCCGGGCGATTTCGGTGAAGATTTCCGATACTGTTTACAAAAGTTCCAGTGGATTTCCGCGGATTTTTCTGTTGAAGGATAGCAATTCTGCCATAAGGCTGTCCACGAGACAGTTGCAATCAGCTGACATTTTTGTTTACCAAGAACTTTTTATTACAGTTTATTCTCATATCAAGAGCCACATGTGAAAAGGGCATACAAACTTTTTGTAGACACACCTTTGTAGGCCCTCTTCTCGCCAACCGAGGGTCGCCCACGCAAACTAACAACATCATCGGGAAGGGGAAACCGGCGATGTTGATGGTTTGCGTTGGTGTCATATGGGTGGCGAGAAAAGGGCATAAGAATGTTTGTTTACAAAAAGCTTGTATGCCCTTTTCACATGTTGATCTTGATATGAATTTCTGCTTTGTTTATGTTTACATTCAGCACCATTAACACCATATCACTCACACACTCTAGATTTCTAGCTGTCAGTTCCACTGAGAAACGTCTCTTGGATCACCTTTTTCGACCTACCTGCTGGAACCCCTTTTTGAGAAGAATAACTCAAGCATAATATGTCCAAAGGACGTAAGTCGCAAAAATAAACAAATCGATGTTTTATTTCTAACCGATTATAAAATGCCTGCCTCTCCTACGAGTTAATAAAAAACATGATTTGAAATTTTAATGAATTATGGAAAACATATTTAATGAACGTCCTATGTGGTCTTCTTTCATTGTTTTTAAATGGGTTTGAAACACCCTTTTATTGTCAACATGACTTAACTATCAAAATTTGATGGTAACACAAAAACTGCAGATACACTCGCAGTTAAACGTCATATGTGAAAAAATAAAGCAATCATTTTCAATCAGCAGATGCGTCAAGTTGTTTCTAAGGCTGTGAACCATTTGCCGAATTAAATTTAACTTGTGGTTAAAAGTGACATTTCGAAAGTTATTTTCTATGTTCGAAAATCCCCGTGCTGTCGATCGACCGGTTTTCTAGCCAAGGTTGACAAAATTTAAATTCTTGTCTGTCAGAAATAACCACGCTCGGATAGCAGGGTTAATCAATAACTTTCCATCTGTCAAATTTTAAGCAAAAGTTAAAAAAAAAATCCACCAAATGGTTCAGAGCCTAAGTAGATACAAAATGGATTTTAACTAGCCGACAGTATCCTCAATTCTTTCCGAGTAACCGACGTATCGTCACTGCAAAATAAAAACCAGTGTATCTGATCTGAGGCATGTGAAGACCGATCTGTCAAATCTCAAATCTGTCTGCGTTTGCGAAAACTCTAAATTTTTCATAATTCTATTGAACGTCATCCATTTATCATACTAGGATTTAAAAATCTCTTACACACTATTTCAATACTACCCAAATTTGGGTAGAATCTACCCAGATCTGTCAAAACTGAACCCACCCAAAAATGGGTAAACTATGTTGGGAGTGACCAGTTGACAAAGTCGATCGGATTCATGTAGATATTGTCAATTTGTCAACTTGCCACTCCCAAAATTTTTGGGTAGGTTCAGTTTTAACCGATCTGGGTGGATTCTACCCAAATTTGGGTAGTTTTAAAATAACGTGTAGGTACTGCTATCAATGTTTCTAATTTCCTATCAAATGTTACATACATCCTTTTGAAAAGACATGCTTGAACTGTCATTTTTCAGTTCAGTTATGTATTGACGAGTGCACGGATGGATTTGAGTTCACTCACTCGACAAAAAGTGACACAACAGCGGGGCCCTGTAAACAGGGCCCCGCTGTTGTGTCACTTTTTGTCGAGTGAGTGAACTAAAATCCATCCGTGCACTCGTCAATTGCAATCAAATCAGTGCCAACATTTCAAAGGGGCGTAATTGCATTTGTAAACAATGGCTTTAGCCATCGATTTCTCGCGAATAAAAGCTCACTCATAAAAATTTATGACGCTAACAAGTAGATGAATGTTTCCTCTACTAGCTAGCATTGTTAACTTGGAGGAGGGAGCATTTATTTTCGAGAAATCGACGTCTGAAGCCATTGTTTACAAAAGCAATTACGCCCCTTTGAAATGTTGGCACTGAAATAATAAGAGTATACTATACACGCTAACTTCTGCTTACTCACGAGGTGAGTCGATCGTACTCACTTTCGTCCGATGTATCGAGTTGTCAAAAATTGAGTAAACGAGAAATGTCAAACTGAGTAAAAGCCACTCAGTCAGCAAAATCCTAGACTTGGAAAAAATGCCAGTCATGCCGGAGGAAACCTCATAGAAAATGTAACTCAAAACCGGCTGAAATGCCTTCAGGTAAGTACGAATTGCTTAGGGAAACGGTGTTGAACCGTTTTTTGCTCCGGTAGAATGAATCCGGAGCAGGCAATTTCCATTTCCTTGAATAAAAATCAAAACAAAAACTCTCCCTGCAACTGAAAATACCGGCGAGTGGATTTGACTCAGTCTACGTGAGAACGTAGTTTACTCAAAAGTGAGTCAACATAAGGCTACTCAATTTTGAGTAGCCATACTTGCCGCTGAAATGAGTACATTCGACTCAATTTTGAGTTGAACAGAATAAGCGTGTACAGGCACTACCATTAACAACTACAAAAAGCACGACCACAGAGGCGAGCTGGACTGAACTCGGTAGTGATCTAGAATTCTAAGCACCTTACTGTTGCTGTGACACTCCCAACATACCAAAATAAATTCATCGGAGCACTCTGGCGGATCTAGACAGACTTTTCCACTTTTTGAAATTGTAATTTATTAAGTCAAACGTAATCCTGGTGGAGACGTTCACAATTTCACTACGGACAAACAACAGACAGTGGCCACTTAACCTTAATTCTCGTCATCATTCATGCGCCCTCGTAGGCCCGACCGTATCCAGTCATGGATATTCCAGGTCGCAGAATACGGTGTACGTGTCACTTCTGTATCCCGAGTGATTTTCTCCATCGAGGTTCGGTGCAATCCAACAAATCGACTGCCGTGGTTCTCTCTCCTTGCAAGAGAAAAACAACAACTAAATTGATCAACAAACGTAGACATCATTGGCAGTGGTGCCAGAATTGATGAAAAAATTAGCTTTCCATGTGGCCGAAGGGTGCGTCAAAATGTTTTTTGTGGGTGTTAGCTGCCGTCGCTGTCGAAACATATTTTCCTTACATTCAATAGGGACCAGTGCTGCACAATTTCGACAATACACGGTGATACTCAAAATTCTGCTTTGGTCACTCGTTTGAGCTAACAGTCATCGTCAAGGCAAACCATGTCATTTGTCAGTGGCATTTTTGTCAGTGACGAACATGTCAGTGCTAACATTTGAAAACGGCGCAAAAGCCATTTGTAAACAAATGGTTTGTGGGCCCTTTACTCGCTACCCGAAGAACGCCCACGCAAACCAACAGCATCGTCAGGAAGGGGAAAATTTCCCCTACCCGATGTTGCTGTTGTGTCGCGTGGGTGTACTTCAAGTAGTGAGTAAAGGGCCCACAAACCATTTGTTTACAAATGGCTTTTGTGCCGTTTTCAAATGTTAGCACTGATGTGCTGATTTGTTTATTAGCTAAATTTAAAATGAAATTAAATGGCTTGAGGAAAACAATTACATGGAGCCATTAAAGTGAGCAAGCATCTACGTCCTGAACAGCTTGGATAACAATAATGTGACTCAGAATGTAAGAAATTACCCTTTCTGTTACCAGGTGAATCTTTGTCATTGACGAAAAAATGAATGAGATTTTGACAAAGATTTTTTTGAGGATCAAGTCTATCATTGACTATAGTGAACCCTACACGATTGCTTTTATTGACAATAATCGTATTGTCAATACATGCTATATTGACGTCAATATATCGAGATTGACAATATTTCTGAATTCACATCATCAATATTATTGTCAATAATTCCCCTTCGCGTCAATATATTGATGCGTGTGGGGTTTGCTTATGTGAAGAACAATTTTGTCAATATCGCGCAAAAGTCTGTCAATGACAATGACAAATCTCAGCACTGATAGGGACACAACTGTCAAAGCGAGAAAAAACTATGCAGTTTGACAGTTCTGTACCCGGTCCCTAATAAATAAATACCATACACGAACGATAACTCAAATTGTTGAACTTTTCCACAAATGGTTTGGATGATACCCCAAACACGTCGTTAAGCAAAAGAACCATACAAATTTTATTAGGGGTATTATTCAACATCGGAACAAAGGGAACACCAGCGCTATTCTTCCTCTATAGTTTATTAGCTCTATTGTGTTAGCACATGGTGGCAGAGTGACTTGCCCCCTGGGTTTCAGT